GATCCTTTAGGTTTAAAGCATCTTTTCAAGTATTAGTAATTCAAATGATTGGCAACTTCTATCCCCTCAGGGCCCAATTTTTCCCTCTACACACTGTGTAGCTCTGGTCACACACAATAAAGTCCCCGGATACCCAAGGCTGCAGGAGAAAGGTGTGTGCTCGGGTGTCCGGGAAGGAACTGAGGAGGCACTCCTATAACCCCAAACACCCCCACCCCCTGAGCCTGGGGTCCTGAGTCCAGGAGGGCACCGATGTCACACTGGCAACTTCTGCACCTTAATATCTCTGGGCCCCCATTTAAAGCCATCTGCACAAGCACGTGCTGAATCCTCCTTACTGGACTGTATGTTCCCTGAAGGTTGTGCCTGTGCCCTCTTTGGCTGCGTATTCCCAACACCTACTGCCTGGGAGGCACAGGATCCATGGTTGTTAGAGGGACGGATACCCTGGAAAGCATCTAGCATGTGTTAAGTACCTAATATGGTTGGCACAGCGTGAACCATTTTCCTTATGCCATTTCACAGCTCACCATTCTAAATAGGGATTATCATATTCATTCAATTCATGGGGACTTTGTAACCTCTGACTTCTAGTTAAGATGTCCTATGCCTGCTGGATTCTGTGGCCAGCAGGGCTGGGCTGTTTGACAGAGCATTTCTCCGCTTCCGTGCTCCTGTGGCCATTCTGGCAGGGCAGAGGAGCAGATGAGCCGGCCAGGCACTCATCACTTTGCATCCCCTGGGAGACCCAGGCCAAAGCCAGGCCTCCTTGGCAGAGGCGGGCGCTCATGCTCTGTGATTCACTAGACCTCATGTATGTGGCTGCTTTCCAGGAGGCAAGGAAGGGAGCAGCTGCTGGGGCTCCCCGACTGCCTGTCCTTGCCTCCGGTGTCTCCAGGCAGGCTGCTGCTCCCCCAGTGTTGCACTTCGTACTCACGACTTGGTGTCTGGGGGACTCAGTGGCCTCAGGCTTGTCCTTCCCCAGCCCACTCCTATGAGTCAAGCTCTCCCCAGCTGACTGTGTTATGACACTTTCCTCCCTTGTTACTACAAATGGAGAATGTTGTTTTGCAAATAGCAGTCCCCAAACCACCCATGTTCTGTCCTGAGAGGAAGCCAGCCCCATTTGTAATTATCACTGTCATCACCACCAGGATTTCACTGTGTCCCCCTCACCACTCGGAGCACTATGTTGTCGGGTCGTCTCCGACATAAAAGGGAATGAACTTCAGTGAGGCAAAGTGCCAAGGACCTCAAAACCAAAGGATCCTTGAGATTGCCACCAACCCCACAATCAGAGAGCAGATGAGTCTTAGTTCTTTGTGTTCCCCAATTCTGAGCAGAACAGAGCAGATTAGGGTATTAAATAATGGTCTCTTACATGTGCATCCTGCTTAGTGTGAAAAGCCCTTTACGTCTTTTATTCCTTTAACTCCACAGCACAACATGAGTAGGGCTGGCATCATCATCCTCACTTCACAGATGGGGAAACTGAGGTTTAGTAGGGGTGGGATTCACCCTGAAGTCATAGAGCTCATTCATGGAAAATCCTTTCATAGACCATCAAAGGCTAGTCTTTTGTATCTAGCACCTGTATGGTCCTAACAAATAGAAAGTACCCAATGAGTAATGGTTCTCCAAACTGAGGAATAGTGAACTAGGACCTAAACTGAGGGCTTTGATTCATAGAATACTGATTTTTTTGCTGCAGCAACATGGCCTAATTGAGCTCTTCCAGCAATGGGCAAAAATAGTCTGAAGTCAGTCTGCTTAGGTTCAGACCTCCTGCACCTTGTCTAGCCAGTGACCTTGGGAAGGTTGTTTGATCTTACTGAATTTCCCCATCTGTGAAATGGAAGATAGTAACAGTGACTGCTTCATTGTGTTGGTGAGTATTAAATAAGAAAATACACGTAAAGTGCACAGTGTTGACTGGGAAGTCACATCTGTGAAGTGTTAAAAAGTGTTGATAGCAGTTATTATTACTAAGGGTAGAGACTGCACCTTACAGATCTATGTAACTGAGGAATCAGTACAGTGGTTGGCACATAGACTTGAGTGTAGGGCTGAAGACACCTGTCTACCAACACTGGCATTCATCACATGACATGGAGTGAGTCCCTTCCCCATTCTGGGCCTCAGTCCCCACTCCCGAGAATTGACAAGGTTGAATCTTGAGGTAAATCTCAGGGTTCCTCCCAGCTCTAAAATTCTCTAGCTATTTCAGTAGTTCTCAAAGGGGACAATTTTGCCCCCCAGGGACATATGGCAATGTCTGGAGACATTTTTGTTGCCATGACCAGGAGAGATGCTACTGGCATCCAGTGGGTAGAGGCCTGGGAAGCTGGGGAGCCATGCACAGGACAGTGACCACAGAAGGAATTGTCTGGTCCCAGATGTCAATAGTGCTGAGGCTGAGCAACCCAGATCCAACTCTACACAAATACCTAGAGCTCTGTGAAGTGTTGAACAAGTGCCTGTGCCCTGCAGCTTGCCAAGATGCCTGGGGCAGCACAGCTCCTCCATGCATCAGGACAGTCTGTGGATTGCCCCTTCAGCTGCCACCTTCTATCCTCACCACATCGATTTTGTTAGGGGTGGGGAGGCTGTCTCAGGCATCTTTAGTTTCAATTTGGAACCACTCCTGCTCATTCCCAAACTCCAAGATGGCTCTGTCAGGACTAAGGGAGAATATCTCTACACAGAGATGCCTGGAACTCAGCCTAATGCAAAGGCCCTGTAGATGTAGGGCAGCCCCAAGCAAAGGCATCAAGTCAGGGGGCTTGCCACAGCACACTTGCTTCCTTTCTCCTGCTTCAACAACCACTTTCCAGGGGGCAGGCCAATTCCTACAGTGGGAGAGTTGCTCTGGGAAAAAATGCAATGGCTAGCATGATGGGCCTTGAGACTGGGGAGAATCACAGCCTGCCCACACTGTGCTGTCTTCCTTTCCCTATTCTCATTGTCTATGAAGGGAAGGTGGCCATCATATGCCCCCTGTGCTCATCTGTCTCAAATCTAGAGGATCTAGTGGATCTCTTTTGTAAGGTTCTTTCACCTTCCATTTCCTTTTCCCTGACCCTGCCCTTTCCCTCTGAGTTCCTGCTGAGAGGCTATGGGTTTCCTGGAAAGTGAACTAATGAGAGAAGGGGAGATCTGGAGTCCACTTTGGGCCATATCACTTCCTATTTCCTCTCTCTGCCTCAGTTTTCTCATTTGTTAAGTGGGAACTCACCAGGTAGTTGCATGCATAGGAAGATAAAGAGGGGAAACGTCTTTGCAAGACCCCATGGCTAGTCATTGGGAGGAGCTGTGGTCTTCCAAACCATGCTATCCAGGGGACTAGGCTCTGCTACTCAGAAAGCACTGAAATCCCTCTGGCACTCTTCCTTCACATGCATGCACATTCTCAGCCTGCACTTCAGGGAGACTCTGAACTCCACTTCACCCTGTGACATCAATGAGTCCCAGCCTCCAACCACACACTTTAACAGATTGATGGTCTGAATTCTCAGCAGCCTTGAGCAGTGCTGTCTGGTCTCTTCCAGGATTGGTGGGGCAAGAATGCTGAGTGCAGAAGTCAAGTTCATGAGACTGGGCAGACGCCTACAGGATGGCATGGCAGCAGAGGCCAGCACCCGCCCTGCACATGGATGGGAGGCCTTACCATCTGGGCTTCTCCCAAGAAAGGGAGGCCATGCTGGAAGGAAGTTCGGCCCCAAGGACAGCTCATCTAAAACAGTAGGCAGCCCGGACACCCAACATTCCTAACTTCTGGGGAACATAGGAAGAGGCACTTGGTACTGGTACTTGGTACTTGGTACTTGGCTGGATGGACCCTCCCATCCAGCCCAACGAGGCATTTCAGAGGCATGAAGATGGATATAGAGTTTAGGTATGGGGACAACATCCTTCTTGAAGCTAAGATTTTATTCCTCCTGGGACTGTAGGAGCTTGTAGTTTTTTGAAGCACAGCTAAATACAGATGAGTTAGCAGTAGGAGAGTAGGGTGGAGATTTTCAAGAAATTATTCAGGAGGCCATAGAGCTTTTTGGAAAAGCAGTAGACAGGCTATCCCCTCCTGACCCAGCACACCATGGAGGTAAACAATGGGTAATATCACTGTTCAGATGGGACTCCTCTGAAAGATATTTTCTTAGAAAGAAGCTAACTCTAAGCTTAGATAGAAATCTGAAGTCTATCTTCTGTAAACATGCCACAAAGAAAGATCTTTCACCCTTGATTATAAACTAATCAGATCTGGGGCCCCTCAAAAGTGGGGTTTTATGATGGCATTTATTCTTATGTAATAAGAAAAAAAAGGTATGCACAGAGATACCCTGGTTCAAATTTGCTTTCCAATGTTACTACTTCTAGAGGCCCAGTGGATCACTGAGTAAGCAAGTGAATATATTCTGGAAGCTTGAGGAGCTCATGGACATGGGTATCTGGTGTGATTTCAGTATTGTGTAAGCCTCAGAGGTTCTGGAATGAAGCTTGTTCCAATCTCTATTGAATTGATACCACTGTGGTATCCCTGACCAGTTCTGCTCTGGGGTCCCACACTCCTGCACAACCTGCTTAGGTGGCTACAATGATTTGCTCTTTCCCTACCTGCTCAAGTCCTGATGGTAAAATCCCATTTCCAGCATATTAAATTACTTTCATTTTGGCCTTTTAACACTCCCCTTGGCTGTTTTCTTCTTGGCTCCATCTGTACTTTGGGAAATAAATACCTTTAACACCCACTCGTTAAATGCCCACTTTGCCAGCTGGTCTTCTGGCCTCTGGAAGGACCACCAGCCTGGGCAGCCAAAGGGCCCTACAGAACAGTGCCCGAGACACTGCCTTGGGAATATTAGCAATAATGGCTCAATCTGGACCCTACCCATTGAAAGATGACTGTGAGTTTTAAGTAGATGTCACAGATTCTGGAAATTCGCAGCCAAAAGCCAAATGGCCTTTTATATCATCAGTTTTGGACATGGGGAGGGACTTACCCATGCTTTCCCGGAGTGGGTACCAGAAGGATCTCTCTTCCAGCCTCGTTGTGGGGCAGTAGCTGGGCGACATACCTCCCAGAAGGCTGCAGATGCCTGTGCACTGAGACAGCCAGGCTGCAGTGCTCACTGCTGCTCCTCATCCATGGGCTCAGGATGGTGTGCTTGGAGTTTGCTGAGGTGTTGAGGAGCAGGAAGGAGCCTGGCAAGAGACAGACAAGGTGACTCTGCAGGTGTGTACAGATAGCACCAGCAGCATCTTCGTGGCAGGATATAGAGACCAATGGCACTAAAGTCAGCAATGGTGTAGGCCTTTCTCACCTTCTTCACATACACACAACCCTCTTTCCCTTTTCTTAGATCATCTTTGTGAAAAGCAAAGCCTGAAGCAAGAGAATGGTAATTCTGGACTTACTAAGGCTCTCACCCTAGTTCCCTGTCTCACTAGTTCTATGTACTGGAGTCCCAGGTTCTTCATCTGTAAAATGTCAATGAAAACACCTATATCAAAGGGTGGTTGTAAAGATTATATGAGATAAGCATGGGGAGTACTTTACCCAGTTTTGGGTGGAGAGGAAGGCCCCTATTAAATTATCAATTACTTGATTTCAACTGTCTTCTAAGTTAAAGTAGAGATGATAGCTTACAGATTATTTGTCAGCCAATAGGCATGATTAACAAAGTCTCACAGGCAATTGGAGAAAAATAGGGGGTATTACCTAATCCCCATATAATAACCAGCATGAGAAACCCAACCCAGATGCTAAGATGTTCTGATGGATTTACAGCCTGGTGTAGAGGGACAGCCTAAATAGTCGCTGCCTCCAAAATGTGCCAAGAATGGAGCCAGGACACTAGTGCCATTTTGTAAACATCCATGTAGGGTGTTTCCAAACACTACAAACCAAAGCACACTCTGGGGGCATCTCAGGCCACCCTACAGGTCACAGTTTAAATAAAAGCTGAGTTCTCCATATCACATTCAAGCCAACTTAGCACTCAATTTATGGCCAATTCAGAGTTTCTCAGGAATGTATGGATTGGCTCTATAATCTCAAATAACTCTGACCAGTTCAAAGTTTTCCTTGACAGCTTGGAGAGGCAGCATTTGGGTCACTTATTATGTAGTAGTCAAGTTCACAGCTCATGCTCCTTTGGTTACTAGCTGAGTGATCTTGTGCAAAGCATTAACTTTCTCAGGTTTCAGTTTTCTCGTTTATAAAACCAAGTGAGAAGGGTTGGCTGAACTCGATAATCTCTTAAGATCCATTTCAGCTCTTGAGTCTATGCGTCATGTGGATTTGTAACTGGTCTACATAAAGAAAGCCCTACAAATCCTCTCTGGTGCCGTGCCGTGCCTATGGCAAAATATGCCTCTGGGGCAAGCCAACCCTAATTCCAGTAGTATAGGCCAAGTGATCTACAAGAAACCTGTATTCATGGGGATTACTGTCAGCATAAAAGCACAGCACCATTTTATTGTTCCAGGCATTCCTTCTGATGCATTAATTTCACTTGTCACACTTCTGCACTGAAGTTTTGGACCATTTGATGCTGCTTCTTTTGCAGTGGAAGACTATTCCAAGATTCCTGACTCCTCCAGTGGGAACCAGCTAATGAGTGCTCAGCCCTCTTAAATCACTCCTGAGCACTTCAAGCTGGTCTCCTTCTATAGACAACCCAATTTACCAGGTACGTAAATGAACTAGCAGTCAGCAGTAGAGAATGATACAGATGAAAGAAGGGATCCCTACCAGAAGCATTCTTTAAGGAGAAGGTATTGTGTCAGGAATTGGAGATTTGCAATATTCTGGAAGTAGATAAATGTGACTTCCAGTTATAATCAGGATGAGGTCAGTGCAAGACTGTTTCTGAGCTGGACTGGGGACCAGGGGTCAGCATGGCAAACTGCACCCTTTGTAATTGTTGGGAAGTTTCAGCATGGCAGATGGGCTAGTGGAAAGTGCTCTACAACCCTCAGTAAATAATCTATACTATTACTCTGTTTTACAATGGGAGAGGTATTCTTGTGATGGGTACAGAGGTAGAAGAAAGGGAATAGAATCAAATATCAGAACTAGACAGGACTTAAAGATCACGTAATATGATGCCCTAACTTTCCTAAAGAAGCAGACTAGAAGTCAAAATGGAGAAATGACTTGTCCAACATCTTAATTTGAAACTCCAAATCAAACTCCAGGGGTTTGGATTCCTAACCAGTGCTCTTTACCTTATATGTTTCTCATTATCCCACTGTATCCCTTATCTTAAAACATGATCAGCGTGCATTGTGGCCAAGCTGTACAGCTCAGGAACTCAGAGGGGGAGGAAGAGAAGAAGACAGACAGTGGGGTACTGAACCAAATCCATTTGTTCACTGGCTCCCTGTTCACTCTTTCTTGCCCTCAAATTTCATTTACTGGATTCCACTGTTGAGCAAACATCCAGGCACTGGCTTTGCCCTGGGGACACAGACATAAACCAGACACAGTGCTGGCTTTTAAGGAACTCCAGGTCCAGTAGGGGTGATGAGATCACTGTAATAACTACAATCAAAAGCAGAGGTTATAAAGTCATAAGACATCTACAGGTAAGGCACTTTGGGAGGCTCCAGGAAGGAGACATTAGGTTCAGTTGGGAAGATTCATAAAGAAGATGACCTTTGAGCTAGGTCTTAAAGGGAGAGAAAAACAAAGATATTGGCAGAACTGGCCATGCGGGGCTTGAGGGAAGAGGAGTAAAGGCATAAACGTAGAAAATGTGTAGAGACACTTGGCTGCAAAGGGGTACTACCTGAAGACAAGGCTGGGGCATAAGGAAGACTAGGGCAGCGAGTGTGGGGCAAGACCATATAGGACATTTCATTCCTGGCTGGAGGTATTCACTTCTATGTTTGGAAAGGTTTTTGAGCAGGAAAGTGACATCATCAGAGCGGTGCTTCAGGAAAGTTAATCTGGTATGGTAGGGGAATGGTGGGAATCAATACTGACCTGACCTCATCCTATAGTACTAATTACACTAAGCAGGGATGTGACTAAATGCAAATGTGACATGTTTAGATTGTTACTATTGTAAGCAAAGGTGCCATGTTGGGGATAGACTCTGGAATTGACTGGGGTATCCAATACCAGATTGATGTGTGTCTATCCAGAGTAGATGAGAGTCCTGGAAGCATGTCTTGGGGCACAGTCTTGCTCTAGATACTTCGGGGCATGGTCTGGGTTTAGGATGAAGGCAGCATGTCACACATATGGAAGCAACAACTATGCCCTTGTCTGAGATCGTACTCGGATGTTTTCAGGTTGGTGGAAAGTCATACTGAAAACAGGTGTTTGAGCTATTGAGGGAAAGAATGTGGGCAAGATGAAGGAGATGTTTTCCTCTTCTCAGAAAGATTACGTGCACGTGCACGCATACCCCACCCCAGGAAATTCAAGTTCCCAGCAGGAGAAAATCATACTGCAGGTGCTGGACTTGGGGCTCTCCTGCACCAGTGTTCTTCCCTCCTGGGTGTGGAAACACATGTAAATTCTGTCCTTGTAATTCAGTAGCTCAATAACGGGACTCTTTCAAAGTTGACTGGAAGATGGATTATTTTTCCAGTTCTAATATGTGAGATGATGTTTATATGAATTTTATTTTGTGCAACTGGACTATCAATAAGAGCCTGAGCTTAAAGTATTTTCACTGTCAATGAAACTCTAGTTGAGAGCTATCTCTTCATCAGCAGCTTTTCCGTCTCAAGAAAGAAAAAAAAAAAAGGAAAAAATACATTTCATAAGCTCCTTGGGATATTGTCAGTATAAATCTTTTAGAGTCAGTGAGCATTTCTATCTCCCCTCCCTCTTTTCTGTTTCTTGTTTATTTTCCTCAGAATAGCTTGGGGCTACTCAAAGGCTCCTGGGGTCCCTCGTAATTAAGATGGATGGCTGGGCAGCTCACAGACCCTCCCCCAGAGTGGGCCATGGGGGAGCAGAGAAGCCGATCAAAGAGCCCTGCTTAGTGCCAGGATCATGCTTCCCTTATTAGTGGATCATGTTGATATGCTCAATCATGAAATATGAAATGGTCATTATTTTTACCTCTGGTCACCAATATAGGGATGTGTAGCTCTTATCTCAGTCAGCAGGGTACCAAATTATGGGCCAGAAAACAAAGGGCATGAACCTTGAAGACAGACAGACTCTTTCATGTCCAGGCCCTGTGTCTAATTCTAAACTTCAGACAAATTATCTAAAATTGTTAAACCTCAGTTTGCTCACATTTAATATGGGTGTAGCCTACCTCATGTGGCTGTTGTGGAGATGAAGTTAAATAACATGCATGAAGTGGCCAGTATGGTGCGTAGCCCTTAGCAGATATGTGAACGATGTTGATTTTTGTGCTCAGAAGGGCGTCTTAACGTGGAGTTCCTTTTATCTATTACTAAACTTGCGATCAGAAGGATTGAATCAGAAGGACCAGCTCTGCCACGACCAAGCCTCCTTTGTTTGTAAAATGAAAGGGTTGGATGGAGTCTCTCTAAGGACCCTTACAGCTCCAAACTGTCAGTAACTCTATCTGCCTGCCTAGAATACTATCAATCTAAAGGAACCATGTCATGTCTCCAAGCCCCCAAGTCCTAAAGGCTTGTCCTAATTCACCCCTGTGGCGGTTCTATACCAACAGTTTTAATCGGTTGGCCAAATCGGCCAAGCTGTGAAGTGTGATTCCCTGCCCTGCTTCCTCTCTTCCAATTTACACAAACACATTTCCGGGAAGGGCTCCTAAATCGGTATCATTTATTTCTGTAGATGCTTCTGCTATAAGGCTGGTATCATCTCTAAATACCTGGTATTTAACACAATGCTTGCCATACAGCAGGTACTCAACGGCTTTTAAAAATCAAAGTAATATATGCATGTGGCTGGAAGTCAAAGAGTTCTGAATTGCTCATAATAATATTTATTTATTTATTAAGAACATTTTTTAATGTTTTATTTTACATTTGAGAGAGAGAGAGAGAGAGCGAGCATGAGCAGGGGAGGGCAGAGAGACGGAGACAGAATCTGAAGTAGGCTCCAGGCTCTGAGCTGTCAGCACAGGAGCCTGATGCAGGGCTCAAACTCATGAACTGTGAGACCATGACCTAAGCCTAATTGACTGAGCCACCCAGTCATCCCCATAATAATAATTTTTTAAAGCTACCATGTCTCCAAATCC